GACTCAGATTCTTGATTTGTGAATGTGTGTTCTCTAACAACCAATTTTTCTTTAACAATTTTCTCAACCCCAGGATTCATGGTTGATGTGTAAAAATTTGGTTGTTGTTTATTTTCCAAAAATCTTAGTTCATCAAGAAAGAGTTTTTCAAAATTCAGTTCAAAACAGCAATTGTCCAACACAGTTTTTTTATTTTGACAAACCCGATCTGCTTCTCCTAATATTTTTAGCTCCTCACCGAAAATTTCCTCAAAACTTAGATCTGACTCTTCTTCTTCTTCCCCCGGTCTTTCCTGAATTGAATTATCAGGGGAAGAATGAATTGGGACAAGAATTTGGCTTAAATGTGTTCTTTCCTGATTATCGACCTGTTTTCCTGACTGTAGTGCATTCATTTTAGTGTCCTTAGGATTGACCACAGGTTGACTCAAAATTTCTCCTTCATTTTCTTCACTTATGGTACTAGCTAGTTGATCAATGTGGGTTTCTAATCTAGCTATAGCTTGAGTGTTAGAGTTAAGTATGAGTTCGGTTGATTGCATAAAGGAGTTCATCGTGTAGGATGTTTGAGTTAACATATCCATGGCTAGTGTGGAGGCCTTAGTTATGATTTCAAAACCTTTTTCTAAAATATTGAGACGTTCATCATAATCTGTATCAAGAGGAGTGTGAGTTACAACTTGATGATGAGGAGACTGATTTTGATGTGACAGACTGGGTTGTTGAAATTATGGATGAGAATTAAAAGGAACTGTATTTTCCCTAGGAAAATGTTGGGTCGAAGAGGGAGTGAAGTTTTGAGTTTCGGAGTGGTTTCCCTGATTCCATGCAATGTTTGTGTAACTTGCCCAACCTGGGTTGTAGGTTGGAAAAAATGGATCATTTACCGAATACTGATATGGACTCTCTTCAAACTCCCGAACTTCATTGGAAATTTCAATCCTATTGGGATAACATAAATTTTGAAAAACTTGTGGATTAGCCATTTGTTCAAAATGAATTTGTTGATGTGTATTGTCCTTAATCCACGTTTTGCATGCACAAAAAACAATTTCTTTTTATATACTTTTTTTTTTGAAAAAATAAAAGTTATTTTTTTTTGAAGAAAAAGGAAAATCCTAACTAAAACAAATCAAAATCAATCACTTTTCAATCACTCTAACTCTAGGGTTAAGCCTAACTCAACTAGACTAGCTCCTAACCAAAAATTCCTTAAGTGAAAAGATAAAAGTTTTACCCGGGTAGTTAGCCAGGTAAGGATAGTACTAGAGGGTGATCAAAGATCAATTAAGTACCTCGTACCTTGCGGAGCGCTTTACGCAACCCCTAAACCTTGCCTTAGACACCAACTAATCTGAGAAAACTTAAACCGGTTCACTTAAGGATTTCTTGTTCCTTATTGAGCTCGAATCCTTAGAGGCCAACGTCTAATGAGTTTTATTAGGCTTGGGTGGTGTAGTGAGGAATTAGTGATTTTTGGGCTAAGGAAAGGGTGATGAAATCCCTCACCTTATCTTGATTATGGGGTTTTGCCCTTAAAAATATTTTGAAGTGTGTGCCAAATCAAGATGCTCAAATCACTTGGTGAATTCCTACTAACTATATGAAATGCAACCCTATGAATTAAAAGCAACTAAAAAGGATGGAAAAAAATCTTTTTTTTAATTAGGGTTAACAATCAAACAAATGAGAAGGGGGAATTTATTTGAATTTTATTATCTTGTTAGTAAATGTCAAAGTGAAGGGTGAATTTTATTATGGTCAACGGAAATAAAATCTTTTTTTTAAGATCCTATTTGTCACTAATTGTGAGAAACTAACTAAAGGTGTGGAATTGAAAATATAAGGAAGAAGACTTACCACAAGCGAATATCCAATTCCTCAATCTCCAATTCTTGATCTTTAATCTCCAAGTAGTTCTTTCACAATAAACACACAAGTTAAAGAACCAAAATAATTAAAACCTACTTAAGCACCTTCCCCGGCAACGGCGCCAAAAACTTGATGCGGCATAAACATGTACCAAAAAGGTTGCAAGTGCACAACCGTGTCAAGTTATAGTATTTAAGATATCGATCCCACGAGGAAGGTGTTTTGTAGGAGAAAATATAAAATCGGCTCTTATGTTGTGTGCGTGACAAATAGGAGTGATGAGTGAATGTGATTGTGGAGAGATAGAGAGAGTGGAAGTGATAGTGTGTAAATCGGCACGAGATATAAGTGAGAGTGGATGTGACAAAGAATGAATATGATCAATAAGGCAAGAAGGAAAAAGAAAATAAAAATCAAGAATAAAGAAAATAAAATTCAAGAATAAAAGAAAATGCAAGAAATTAAAGATGGTGGATTCAATTATAGATATGGGTAATCTACAATTGAACCCACTTCTTAGAAAAGGGTGATTCCCTAGAGGGTTCTAGCCTAAAGGCGAATCAAACAAAATAAAAATAAACAAAAAGAAAAACTAAACCCAAGAGGGTTCTAGCCTCAAGGTGAATAGTATAAGAAATTAAAATCTAACTACAAAATAAATTGCAAAATCTAAACTACAAAATAAAATTAAAATAAGAAATTATTTTTCCTTGTTCCTGCTGATAATATTTTAAAATATCACGTTGGCAGGTTTGACGAGAAAATTTTTTAAATGCAGGATAAAAACCATCTCTAAACATATCTTCAAATTCATCATCTTCTACTAATTTAAAAGGAAGGTTTTTAAGAATGATAAACCTGATTACGCATTTCCTGGCTCTGGCAGCGTCATAGTTCCAACTACCGAGACTACCAGAAGAGGAGGATTGAGAAATCATAGATTGTCGGATATCACCTTGAGGAGTCTGGCCTTTGTTGTGTTTATCTAAATGGCGTTTGAGGTGGTTGGTGCCGCTCTTATGATGAGCTTGAAAAATCTTGCCGCACAAAGCACACTTAGCCTTCTGGGTGAGGATCCTACCGTGTTCATCCTTGGTGACGTCGATCTTCTCGTAAAAATTCCACACATCGGATCTTGGCCGTTTAGGAGCTCTTGGTGCAGATTCGTCGCCACCGGATTCGAGATTAACTTCGGTAGGAGGACTCATAGTAGGAGGACTCATAGTAGGAGGACTCAATTCAGGATCGGGAGATATGTTTTGCTCTTCATAATCAGATCCGGAAGCCATTTGGGGATTGGATTAGAAAGTATAAATAAGAGAGTATAAGAGTATAAGAGAGAGTATAAGAGTATAAGAGAGAAGAGATGAGTTTTTGGTGTGAAGAAAACAAATGAAAACCCCCCGCTATTTATAGAACCAGCCTCCTAGGCAAATGACCAAAATAACCTCACAAAATAGCCGTTTTTTGACCGTTTTTGGGGGCAAAACGGTCAAACGGCCGAACGCCGGCCCTGTTCCGGGCCGGGCTGGGCCCGGGCCGGGCGCCGCTGGGGTAACCCGGGCCCGGGCCGGGTCCGGCCGGTATTTTGGACAACCCTATGTATAGGGAGATGAATTTTCGAGATTAATGGATTAATGACATTTTTCTGAATTTAATTTTTGGGATTAGGCACCGGGCCGGGCTCCGGGCCCGGGCTGCCCGGCCCGGATTTTTGCCCGACGCCGGCCCTGTTCCGGGCCGGGCTGGGCCCGGGCCGGGCGCCGCTGGGGTAACCCGGGCCCGGGCCGGGTCCGGCCGGTATTTTGGACAACCCTATGTATAGGGAGATGAATTTTCGAGATTAATGGATTAATGACATTTTTCTGAATTTAATTTTTGGGATTAAGTAGAGCTGATTTGACTCGGGCGAGTGTGGAATTTTGCGTGTGGATGATTTCCAAGTTGGGAAATAAATGGTGACGCAAGCCGTTGATACTTCTTGCAGTAACAAGGAAGTATACAAATTGCACTCACCACCTCCAATTTACTTTTTTTAATATTCTCATGCTTTAACATTATTATAACATAAGTAACCTAAGACATTATTAGATACTCTGCTCTACTTATATAATATAATATAATATGTGATGACTTTGGTGGCTGGTTGATGACGGGCTGGTTGTTCCTCCCCTCAAAAGGTATTAACATGTTATCTTTTGACGTCATAAGCGGATTTTAAAAAGCTTTTTTATGGATAAACGGGATAGAATTCTTAACAAACGGACTAGATTCCTCAAATGTAGTAACGTAAAATAATATTCTTAACAAACGGACTAGATTCCTGATGACGGGCTGGTTGTTCCTCCCCTCAAAAGGTATTATTAACATGTTATCTTTTGACGTCATAAGCGGATTTTAAAAAGCTTTTTTATGGATAAACGGGATAGAATTCTTAACAAACGGACTAGATTCCTCAAATGTAGTAACGTAAAATAATATTCTTAACAAACGGACTAGATTCCTGACATAAACGGGATAGAATTCAAAGAGAATACGAGTTTTTAAGTGAGTGTGATTTATCGAGGTATTTTGCATGTCTCTCCTGCCAATTATTGTTTCAGTTGGCATCCTATCATCTTCTGCATGGCTTAGAATAAAACCATCACAGTAACGTTTTGGAATAGATACACATTAATTAGCACATAGCATACTTTTATGGAAGTACTATCTATAGTTGGAACTGGTGGGAGATTGGTCGAAACAATTGTCTCTGAGGGTTAAAAATTTAACACCAAAGTTTTCATGCATAGCACTTTCGTCCGTATTCTTGATTCTACTTACCTGATGGAGTGTTAGTCGTACAAAACTCGAACAAAATTATATCTGATGTTGGTATGAATTTTTTCACTAGCTTCTGCTTCATCAGATTCGTGTTCTTGTTGATTCGGTCAGGCTAGATCAACTGCCTACTAGGCTAATTTGCACAACTGTATTTGTGAACATATATCAGTTGAGGTTAGTTGAATCCTGCAAATTTGGCCTCATGTTTAGTTATTACTCATGTTTAGTTATTACTAAGCATACTTCTAAAAATTTAGGAATATATCATATTCTTAAAAATAATGTCACCTTCTTTTATCTTGCAGGTGCATGTGTTTCTTTGAGCTTCTCTAGAGAAAATAATGCTCATGGACCTGGATATCGGTTTGTAAATCGTCGTTGTATTTTTAAATCACAACTTTCTTTGTGTTGAGCCCAAAACAAACAGTGAGTTGATTGAGTTGTGCGGCAAATTTATATGTATATGTGTGGCAAATTTATAAGTTGGCAGAGATACTTTAAGAGAGAGATGATATGTATGAAAAAACATGTGTGACTTTGTTGTGTGATTTATTTAAGTAGTTTTGTAGATAGTTTAATTATTTGTGTGGTTGGTATATATGTGATTTTTATTGTTGATTTGTAAGCTGGATTTACAGGGTTATTCAATAGGAAATTTGAGTGGTTTTGCAGATTTGTAAGCTGGATTTACAGCTATACAATAGCCAATTTGGAAACTGCATATTACTGGGAAAGAAAGTATCCCAGACGGATTTTTTACATCCCAGACGGAAATATCCGCCTGGGTTGTAAAATCGTCTAGGTTACTGCCATATATCCCAGACGGAATATTCTGTCTGAGTTAATTATCCCAGACGGAATTCAATTCCGTCTGGGATACATCTCAGACGGAGTTTTCCGTCTGGGATACAGAATATCTCAGACGGAAAAGTTCCGTCTGGGATAGTTATCCTAGACGGAAAAATTCCGTCTGGAATGTATTACAGACGGTTTTTTCCGTCAATTAAAATCCGTCTAGAATACATTCCAGACTGAATTTCCGTCTAGAATAATATATTCTAGACGGAAACTAATTGGTGATGGAACTTCAGAAAGTGATACTGCTGGCAAAAACGGATACGCCCCTCGCTCCTCGAGTGCTACAAAATCTTACTGCAAACGGTGCCATAAAGTCGATCAGTTACTGTGGAGCCTGCTGTGGCTCGGGCTCTGCTTGCCCAGCTCTCTGGGTACGAGTTTTATCTCGACTGTATCCTCGTCCCAACATTTATAATATCGAGAGGAGAGCTAATGATCACAGTAAGTGAGATTGTAATAATCAACATATAATAATTGTCATAAATTTTTTTTTTCAAAATTTTGAGATATACGCACATATCGTCCTCACTCATTCTAGGAATTCCTAGCGGACTCTATACATGAATCCTAGGAAAATCTATCCTAGCTCCATAATTTGACACATAAATGATCCTAAGGATGCTGGAACTAAAGCTCTGATACCAACTGTGACGTCCTAGGGTTCACACAAGGCTGCAGTCCAAGGTAAAACCCGGATTGTCAAACCTGCTAAGTACCAAATAACATGCTACGACATGTTTCACCATCGCAATCACTATCTCTCTAGTGAAAATAACAAATAGGTAAAGGTACAAAACAGGCAAATAATAGAAGTAGTATAAAATCAGATATGCATAGAAGAAGTATATCAACAAATGAGCCCAACTGAAAAAGAATAAAAATATCTCTGAGTCTTAAATACATCTCAACACAATGAGTCAAATGAAATCTCACTAAGACACCCAACCTCTACAAAATAAATACAACTCTAAAGTCTGAACAATGAACATAACTATATAGTGGAGCTTCAACTGCTAAAACTGTGCGACGACGACTATGCTAGAACTTCGTTATCCTACAGCTCTCCGAAACTCTAATCTGCCTGAAAGATACAATTTAAACAAAAACAACAACAACAAGAGCGTCAGAGCGCTACAGCAAGATCACCTCCATCCGCCCCCAGGGGAAGGGCTGCTAGATGAAATGGATGCTCTATCTATTAAGTATAGTCTACCATATTATTTTCCCCGTATCTAATGGAGTTAATATTTAGACACATACAAGACGAAACATAGTACATCGAGTGAAATAATCCAAATAAGGAAACCCTCATATATATACCATATGTCTCAAATTGTAGATCCCTATGTAGGCGTATAAAACTGCCTATAGGTCCCTGAATACAGCTCGGCACGGTGATTCGACAAACCAACGAGCCATCGGGTGACGTATCTAAACACGAACGTCAGTCCACAACACCGAAGCCAAGTGACACGCAACGAAGTGGATTAACGAGGCGACAAGGTTAACGAATCGCACGCAAGCAACGGAATGCATCCATTCGCGTGCGGAATCAAGCCAACGATTCGGGGAGTCAACGGGTCATTCAACCATAGAATGGATTCGAACTCAAACACCAAGGCGGATTTACTGCCAAATCGGGAGCCTGACTTCCAAATCAGAGTCCAGATTAACAGTAAGGCTCGGATAAACCGATAAACCGTGAAACCGGATGACGGACGACGCGGCGAACACCCGAAAAGAGGCTCGGAAACCAAGTCATCGAGGCGGCTCACCGAGCCACCAAGGTGGCTCGGTGGCCGAGCCACCAAGTGGTGGCTCGGCCGAGCCACCTAGGTGGCTCGGTGGCCGAGCCACCTTGGGGTGGCTCGGCCACCTCCGAGCCACCAAATGGTGGCTCGGAGGCCGAGCCACCTCCTTGGTGGCTCGGCGGCCACCAAGGTGGCTCGGCCACCACCGAGCCACCAAGAGGTGGCTCGGTGGCCGAGCCACCAAGGTGGCCGGCCGAGCCACCTCTTGGTGGCTCGGCATGAGCCGAGCCACCTTGAGGTGGCCGGCCATCTGAGTGTTGGCCACACGTGCACACGGGCACAGTGACGCTTGGCTATAAATAGGAGAGGGG